TTTATGGAGGTATAAATACATATTTAATGTATGCAACGTGATGAGTTTGAAGATAAGCATATACCTGTGAAATCAGCTCTACAAGCTATGCCAAAAACATATCCAACACCTCCAAATTTCTTTCCTCCCACCCATCTTTTTCTCCCAGTGATAAGAACACTCAACATAAAAGCTACCCTCCTAGAAGCCTTATACATGTAAAGTACAGTATTTTCAACTATAGACACTATACTACATAATAGATCTCTAAGACTTATTCCTCTTGTATAATCAAAACTTGATTCTCTTTACTAATACCTCCCCACGGCCCCTCCCTGGATGAACTTGAGGACATTAAGCTAAGTGAAGTCAGTCAGACATGAAAGGAGAAACGATACATGCTATCACTTCTGCAAAGAACCTAAAATAGTCAAAGGATGGAATCGTGGTTGCCCTTGTCCCATTTACTGACATTCAGTCAAGGACAGAAAGAAAAACCAAGCTTCCAGCAGTCATTTTGCCAGGAGCTCCATGGAGAGGCTTGGATTCCATGCCCTTGTTCTATTGCCCACTCCAGTCCTCCTCCATGGTCCTCCTGAGGCTAATGACAGAGGATGTCTCTGTTACAGCTGGACACACGTAGACAGGCAAATAACCAAGCTTGCCCAACCAGCTGTGGATCCTCGCACTAGCACTTAGAGTCCTGGTCCCTAACCTCACAAGAGCTGACTCCTAGGATGCAGGCATTTTCAAATCACTAGAGGGGAGTTTTCAAGTTGATACACAAAATATCCTAGAAAGCCCCAGTCAGTATTTTTATTATTTTTAGACTCTGTAATCCCTTTCACCATCCCTATAATAATGGCTTAGTCATTTTTTAAAATTTTTCCATTACAAAAAAAGCTATTAGGTATTCTTTGTTTAGCTGTGTACATTTTACATCCCACACCTTAAGTTCATTTTAAATTAATAATATCCATGAAAATTAAAGAGTACTTTTGATATCTTCCCATTACATATGGTGCATGCAACTTAATTTATTTAAATTAATTAAATATTAAATAACGTATGATTTATAACATAATAAATCATAAGGATGTGTCTTGTTTGGTTAGGGAACTAAGAAGTATTCAAATGTATACCAAAGTTGAAATAGGGGTTATTGCACTGAGAGCCTGCTCTTAATATTTGATAATAAAAATTTCTGAGTCATGGTTATCAAATAGTATAAAAATTATTTATTTTATAATGCTTATGTATGTTTCCAAATGAAATAAAAGAAGGTTTCAGGTTGTAATTTACAAGCATTTCCACATTACCACACTGCTGGGCTTTGATGCTTGGTTCTTTGAAAGAATGGTCAAATGAGCTATAATCATTACTATATTGTTCCTTTGCATCTTGATACTTTTAAGTACTACAGACAACTCAGTGGTGAGGGAATTCTAACTGAATGAATGTAATGTGTAGATTTGGTGAGAAAAAGTCACAAACAAGTTTGCAGAATAAGTATGCATTCTGGCTTTGAACCTTGATTGAATGCAGATCTGCATTAAATGATATGTTCTAGATAGATCTCATCCAACTCTCCAGTCCCATCTCTGTTTTTGATACACTATGTCCCATTGTTAAAAGTTGGCTTTTACAAATGTTCCTTCTGATATGTGAATGCTAACACACAATAAGTGGGGGAGGTGGGAGAACAGAAGTTCATTGAATTAGGGGAATGAAGGGAAGGGAGGGAGGACAGGAATAGGAAAGACAGTAGAAAAAATAGGACATAACTTTCCTATAATCATATATGAATACACGACCAGTGTAACTCCACATCATGTACAACCACAGAATGGTAAGTCAGAATCCATGTATGCATAATATGTCAAAACGCATTCTACTGTATTTTTTAAAATGTTGCTTTTATGGTTTGCCTCAACAAAGTCCCTTGAGCTCTGGTTTATACTGGGTTTGGTAGATGAGATCAAAGATACATTTATTCCCCTCAAGCTGTCTGAGTCTTGTGACTAAAGGCCATAGAAGAACCCTGGCCATCTCCTGCCTCTTCAGACTAGGCTTGACCATGGCCCCTCCGTTTCTAACCTCAGTGTTCGTCACTATCCTAGGTGGTTCCCCTCTAATCTGCACACACATTATAAATACTCTTTTTATTAAACTCTCATCAAGCTACATAATTTAAGTGTGAGTGTTTCATTCTTTTTCTGACTTAACTCTGGCTCTTTCATAAGACAGGGCTATGAATGATGACAATGTCAAACCAGGGAATGGCCTTAAACTTGGCAGCCTGAGATGTTCAGTTAATGTTAAAGGAACCAAGCAGCTGAATCATGAGCTCTCTCATGTGATCACATTAAGTGCCACACACACACACACACACACACACACACACACACACAGTCAAGCAAAAATACATTCACAGCTCAAGAGAAAATCACTCCAAATATTTATTATTCAATCAAGAAGTAGAAATCGAAACCATATTATTAATACACCCTAAAAACCCACCAAAGCTTCAAAAACACCAGTGGGAGAAAAGATTTGCTAAGTGAAATGGCTATTTTTTAAACCCACCCAAAGAAAGACATTGTGGAATAATTGGGGTGAGACTTGGGTGAGATTTGGAAGCCTGTGGGTATGTAAGGATGTACAACTCTACTGATAAAAATGACACCCAGCACCAAAGTTTGAAATGGCTTTTCAATCACTTATTCTGCAAATGGAAATAAAACTGTTAGCTTTCCCCCAGTCCAGGGCAGGATCTAGGATGCAAAGGAGAGTTATCATCCAGCGAGGATATGATAGGTCTAAGACCATCCCATCCTATCATTGCTTGAATCTAAGAACTCGTGAGCAGCTGGACTGTAAGGGGTAAACATTATAGGAACATTGCATGAAGAGCTGGACCATCCCCCCGATAATTGTGTGCGCAGGTACTCTGGGAGGATTGCCAGAGAACATGCACAGGAGAGGGGATGGTCTTAGCCATGCAGCATTCGGGGAGTCCAGGCTTCCAGTCCACCGACCATGCCTACATAAGCTGAGGCCACACAAACGGGAGTGCGATCTGACACCAGGCAATGCTTATCCTCAAATATATTATGTTCATCGATTTTTTAAATAAAATTCCTCCAATTCCATTATAATTTGAAGTGTTGAAGTGGTGTCAGGTATAAGACTGCCCAGTGAAAGATTCTTTTCCAAAGAGGAAAAACTTACTCATCCAGATTGTTCCTACAATCACATGTCTGACTCCAAAATTGGTTGTGCCTGACTCTCTTTTCTCTACACCTTCTCTCTCTCTCTCTCTCTCTCTCTCTCTCTCTCTCTCTCTCTCTCTCTCCCTCTCTCTCTCTCTCTCTCTCTCTCTCTCTCTCTCTCTCACACACACACACACACACACACACACACAGAGTTATAGTTTACAATTCACAAAGTAAGAGAAAATTCAAAAGCCCCAAGGTAGCACCATGTAGGAAGAGGTAGATTCACCCAAAGGAGACTAGAAGACTGACCTTCTACTTCCCAGTCATGTAAAATGACCATCAAAATCTTTCCACTTCCCCTTCCTCCTCACTTTTTTCTTTAACTCAATCTGCTTTCAGACTATTTTGCCAAACTCTTTACAGGCTAAAAGGCAACCAACTGAGAGCCACTGGGTGGAACCTGAGGATATACTACTAGTATAAAGGAGGTCCATGCCCTGAGAACTTGGTTACCAATTGCTACATCATATTTTCTTCCCACGTATGAGACACAACAGCAAAATCAATAAACTATTTCCAAGTTTCCTTCACCATCCACAATCCTACTCCAGGCAATGTTTGACTGGAAGGAGTCACATAAATGAATTAATTAATTAAGTAATAATTAACTGATAAACAATACATTCTCTCAAATTATCTTGAACTCTTGCCAAACTCAAACTTCCCATTACCAATGTCCCATTACCAATATCAGTTTATTACTGATGTCATTTAAAACATTCTTTATTCTATGACTGACCTCTGTTTAATCTTCCCAGAGGTTCCTGAAATCTCCTAAAGAAGAACTTTTTACACTGGAAAAAATTCATACTCAAATCAGTTCAGGTCGATAACATTTGGAGAAAAGCTAACAGTTCTATTTCCATTTACAGATTAAGTGGTTGAAAAGCCACTTCAAACTTTTGTGCTAGATCAATAATATTTGGAATGTGAGTTTAACAGCACACAGTCATATGCCCCCACCCTATTCCACCTCTCTTTTCCAAGTGGCACTGCATCAGAGGAGCCTGTAACCAGCCAGAGTGAAAGAGGGAAGAGACATACACAACCACCACCAACAGGGGCATCTCTTCCCAGAAACTGATAAGAAGAGCTATGTATTTCTAGCTTCTGACCATGCTGTCATGCATGGCTCTGCTCAGCACCTTGTATCACAGTACAGATGCTCACTCTTGGACATGGGCAAAAGTAGCATTGCTCAACATTCCATTAGTTTGCTGTTACTGACCAAATAAGTATGATAGCCAGTTTGCCTTGTAGGGAAGTTTTAACAAAATAGGAAAACTTCCTTTCCAAAATCATCCATCAGTCAGTCATAGTGATGCATGCCTATAACTGCAGGAGGTTGAGGCAGGAGGATCACAAGTTCAAGGGCAATCTGGGTAACTCAGCAAAACTCTGTCTCAAAATAAAAAATAAAAGGGGCTGAGAATTTAGCTCCATGGTAGAATGCCCATGGGTTCAATCCCTGATACCAAAAACAAAACATAACAAAAAATCAACAATCAGAGGAATTCTCTGCAAGGATGCATCCACCTAATTCCTTTTATTAAGACCACTACCTCTTGCAGTGAGCTGTACAGCAACTGAAACAGCTCTTCAGAACAGTGGACCTGGAAAAATAGGACCTTTCAGGAAACTGATGCACTGAACATTGGATTTAGGGACAGGACTTGTCGACATGGGTGCTTGCAAAAGCCTGAGGAGCCTCCTGTGATGGCTGTGGGTGGCTGGGCCTCTTACCTTACCACACTGCTTACATTTCCCCTCCTGCCGACGCCTGTGCACCCAGTGATGACGCACAAAATTCTGTGGGGGAAACAAAGTTAAATGAATATGTGTTAATTTGCAAGCCTCAATATTCATTTTTTTAATGTTTAGAGACTACAGGATTATAGAAACCATAACATAAGCCCCTAGAAGCACAAAATCAAATGTGTAGATACAACTTGTTTAGCAATGAATATGAATCCACTCCAAAAAAAAAAAAAATGAAGCTACTTCTCTATGCCAGTGATCTTTCACAATGGGAGACGGCGTTTATCCTGCCCTGTCTCCCTGTCTTCCCGGTGGCAAGCAACCAAGCCAGATTGCTGTCACTCCACCTTAGTAGGAAAACATGGTGCAGATTTGTGAACAGGAAACTGGACTGGGAGATAACTCAGACAGGTATAGGAAACACCCAAATAGAAGTGAAAAGGTGAAGGAGAAAAGCTGACACATGGATAATTGAACATGACAAATGGCTGCTCTCCTGCTGTCTCCAGCCACCCCTGCCACAATCCTCAATGCTGGAGGCCAGTTCTACTTCCACAGGGCCCTCTCCTCAACATTCTACCTAGAAGGAACTTAAAGAAATCAAGTTATCAGAAAGCAATAGATCCCCTGATTTGGGGCATTGATTTGAGAATCTAGAAGAAAACTGATGTCAATAAGAGATGTGGGCATATTGGTGGTGTTTGCTGATGGTGTGTTTAACCCATCCTCTACACTAGTTGAGGTTAGTTTTCAAGGTCTGTTCTTGTCTTGGACTGTAGGAAACACAGGGGGTCCTCTTCCTCCCCCCAGGTAGGTGATCCCCTGGGGACAGAGTCAAGCAGCCCCATCTCCATTACTCTTAGGATGTTACAAAACAGAGCATGGTCATCCAACTAGCGATGCAGGTGAACTCAATAGCTTAATACAACTCATCGCTCTGGAACCAATATGCCTGACATACTTGATAAGTTTTTTTTTCTCTTGCCCTTTTCAGATAAAACACACTTTACCTGATAATAACATGTCTATGGCAGAATCTAGCCATGGTCCATATTTCCCCTTTAAAGGACCCTTAAATATATTCCTTAATTCAAAAAATATTTACTAAGTGCCTACTGTATGCCAAGCACACACTGAGTGCAGATGGACAAAGATACGAGATCGGGGTTGAGGGAAGAAAAAAGCTTTATCAAGGCATGAAATTCAGAATGATGAGAATACCTCCAACAAGCACTACTTTTATTAATAAAAAAATCACCACCTCTATTCTCTTAACAATGTAAAATCAATTTAAAATAAAACTGAATAAAGGCTCTGGAGGTATAATGGTCTTTAACTGTAAACTGTGAAGCAACATACTGATCCTACAAATTAGTCTAATTTTCATCTTGTTTTTCACTCTGCTCCCATTTATTAAAACAAAGATACAATTCAATATTTCTCTCAGAAAGTAGCTAATCATAATAGCTAACACTTACTGAGTACTACGTTCCATGAACTTTTAAAAATATTTTGTATGTAATAATGCTTTTAGTCTTCATGAGAATTTTAATAAATAGAAGTGTTGTTCTTTAGAAGTGTACCAATCAACCTCTAGGAGTTGTTAAAGTATTAAAATGTTTCTAGATTAGCTGTGATTTAGCACCTCTACCATTTTGCTAGCTCCTCCCCTACCACCATAGCAACCCCTAATGTACCCTCTCAATATTGAAGACCATTTTTACATCTTCTTAATTGAACAATTAGGATGTAAATTTCTGACATATTGTGTCTCCAAGATCCTGTTCCAAATGAGTTATTTTGTGAAAACAAATCCTGCTGCCTGGGCAATGCCACAAATTCCCTCAAAAACTTCAGAAGACTGGGCTGGGTCCACCCAGTATGGATTGTCCATGGAAGGTTAAATATCCACATGGGCGATTTGGGGTACCATATCTGGGTGTAGCTTTCAAGATGGTGGCAACAACTCCAGAAATGTGCCCAGTTATCAATATTCATTCCAACAATTCAGAGGAATAATTCTGTTGGTGGAAGATGAAGGTCCTGGATCCTCCACCTCCTACTTTGCAGGTAAGGCTACTACTGAGTGATAGAATTCTAGTCCAGTGCCTACTGAAGAATAGGATGGGGAGAACTGAAGTCAACTGCCAACTGCAGTAGTTATTCCCAATCACATTATTGTTGGGCAACTCATCAGAGGGCTCGACTTTGGTCAGAATTATCCTCCTCACTTTACAGATGAAAAAGCCAAAGCACAGAGAGGTCACAAAGAATTTAAGAGTCAAAGCAAGGACTAGAACTCCAACATACTGGCAGTAGAGTCTACGCTCCTTCCATGGCATCTCTGTGCCTCCTCAACTCTGAAAGATTAGGTTCAAGCTACTTCAGCATGACACACCAATCAATGACTTCAATGACAGTCAGGAGTGGAAATATTGAAAACATAAAAATGTCAGACACTAATCAAAAAGGATTGAAAAATTTAATACAATTGCTGTTATTTTAGCAGAAACTGAGGGAGATTGAACAATATGATTGATGTTAAGAGAAATTCTGCACTTATTGAGATTATAAATCACCTAGTGACTTTCAATTTAAGAAGGGAAATGTTGGAAGAATTGGGTGCAATTAACCTATGAGAAATCATGGCTGACTCATGGGACCCTTGAGCTAGTAACAGCTCCACTCAAGAGATTAAACCTACAATTTCCACAGATCAACAGTTATTTAGAAATTAGATGACTTAATCATTTGCACTACAACATCTATCATTTGGCAAATGGTTCTTTTTTAAAAAAATTATTTATTTATTTATTTCTGATTTGTTATACATGACTGCAGAATGCATGTTAGTTCATAGTACACAAATGGAGTACCATTTTTCATTTCTCTAGTTTACACAAAGTAGAATCACACTGTTTGTGTCTTCATACATGGACCTAGGGTAATGATGTCCATCTCATTCTACCACCTGTGCTATCTCCATATCCCCTCCTTTCCCCTCCCTCCCCTTTGCCCTACCCAAAGTTCCCTCATTCCTCCCATGCTCCCTCCCCACCCCCATGGATCAGCATCCACTTATCAGAGAAAACATTTGGCCTTTGGTTTTGGGCGATTGGCTTACTTCACTTAGCATGATATTCTCCAACTCCATCCATTTACCTGCAAATGCCATGATTTTATTCTCTTTTAATGCTGAGTAATAGTCCATTGTGTACAGGAACCACAGTTTTTTTATGCATTCATTTATTGAAGGATACCTAGGTTGGTTCCATAATTTAGCTATTGTGAATTATAGTTCTGCTATAAATATTGATGTGGCTATGTCACTACAGTATGCTGTTTTTAAGTCCTTTGGGTATAAACCAAGGAGTGGGATAGCTGGGTCAAATTGTGGTTCCATTCCAAGTTTTCTAAGAAATCCCCATACTGCTTTCCAGATTGGTTGCACCAATTTGGCAAAAAGAGTTCTTATACCATGTAGTTTAGTTCATTTAAGGAATGGGAGAAAACACCTTAAATTTTTATTTAAAAACTAATGTAGGGGCTGGGGATGTGGCTCAAGCGGTAGCGCACTCACCTGGCATGCGTGGGGCGCTGGGTTTGATCCTCAGCACCACATAAAAATAAAATAAAGTTGTTGTGCCCACCAAAAACTAAAAGATAAATATTAAATCTATCTCTCTCTCTTTCTCTCTCTCTTTAAAAAAAACTAATGCATATGATTCTACCAGTCATTAAACATCCTGAGTATTATCCTTCCAAGAAAATAAGTGGGAGACTGAGGATATGAAAGCACAGAGAAAGTAACTTATCCATTACCTTTACTGTAGAAGAAACTTAAAAACTAAGCTCTATGATTTGAGATGTCAAGCAGTTGTTATTCAGAGTTCTTCTTCCTCCTAATACAAATTGATCCTATTGCTTCTTTAACATAGTTTGAATAAAGTACATCCAATAAATGTACGTTGAGCTGAATTGAATTCTCAATCTTACTTCTTTGACAATTAAGTCATGTGGTTATCATTTGGGGGAGGAAGAATCATCAGTTGCCTTCATCAGTGAGATAAGGAAAATCTTTATTTCCCAAGCACCTCAATTCTTCACACAATTTTCTTTTGACAATTATTCATACCTCTTAATTTTTTGGACTAAAATTAGATTTTTTCTATGTTCTTTTGACCATTATTCATATCTCTTAAATTGTTTAACTGATATTAGATTTGCTTCCAAATGTGAATGTTGATGAACAGTTGTTAAGACAGAACAGCAAAGCTTCTAATACAATAATACCTTTTCATCACTCATCAATAATTTCTGAATTATTCATATACTTCAAGTAAGTATAAGTAAGTAAGGGAAAAAGCTATTACTTATAGGTGTTAAAATATCAATGATGTATTATTTCAAGACTTATCTGCAGCTGGGCAAGGTGGCACAAACCTGTAATCTTAGCAAGTCAGGAGGCTAAGGCAGGAGGATCATGAGTTTGAGGCAAGCTGGGGATGTAGCTCAGGTGTAAAGCACCCCTGGGTTCAATCCCCAGTACCAAAAGAAATAAAAAAAATAAAAAATACCCAGTGTTGTTAGCTGAGACATATAACACAATTGCATAGTTATTTTCAAACAGCCAATGCAATTCAAAATATTATTCATAGAATGCTTGAAAGGATCTTAGAAATCACAACCCAATCCATATGGCTTATGACTAAGAAAACTGAGTTCCAAAAAGATTCAACTTGGAGAAAGCAATCCAACAAATATTCATTAGAAAACAGCTGTGCGCCAGGCACTATACACTGCTAGGACACGGTGACTCACAATCCCCACACTCAAGACTGACCACCTATTAGAAAAGAAGCAGAGTTGAACTGAACCCAGATCAACTAATGCTAAAGTGAATGTTCTTTCATTTCCATTGAGTACTCTAATGAAAGTCTCTTAAGAATCACAAATGAGTCATAGTCATGGTTTCATCTTATAAATGTCCTCTTAGACTAAAAGTTCTTACACACTTTGGAAGAAATGCACCCCCTTATAAAAGCATTGAGGCCACAGATACTCATTGATCACATACTCCGTGTCCTGGAACAATTAGTCTGTGATAAGCTCCATGATTGATCTCCCAAGGCTTACACTAAAGGGGAGAAACATTGTCAGGCAACAAACAGTCATAAACATAAATAATTACGACATATAAAATGACCTAATGGGGAGAACAAGGAACTTTGACAAAGAAGACAGTGCTACCTACTTACAAGTGGTATCAAGCAAGAGCTCTGCAATGGAGCAAGTTCATCTGTTGAGTGGTATTGGGAGGTAAGACCTTTTGTTAGGTAACTCGTTCTTGAGGGTAGAGGCCTCGTGAATGGCATTACTGCCTTATGAAAAGCACCCCCTGGGATCTTTTGCTTTCTTTTCTCTGAAAGAGGATGCAAGAAGAAAGCAGCAGTCTGCAACTTGGAAGACGGCCCTTATCAGAATTGGACCATGCTGGCATCCAGATCTCGGACTTCCCATCCTCTAGAATTCTTAAAAGAATTCTGTTGTTTATAAGCAACCCAGTCCAGGGTATTTTGTTACACAGCCTGAACTGACTAAGACAAGCTCTGAGAGGATGATAATTGAGAAGAAACCTAACTATAAGAAGTAGCTAGTCGTTTAAAGAGATTTACAATATAACAATAAATTATGCAAGGATCTACAGGTAAGGGATATCTTGGGATGCGCCTTGGGAACTGAAATAAAATTCCTGGGACAACTGTGTAGAGCTGGAGAAACAGGCAGGGGCCAGAAATTCAAGTTTCTCAGTCCAAGACAAAGCATTTAGATTTTTTTTTCTAAGTGCAATGGAAACCACTGGAGAGTTTTAATCTGGAAAATGACATTATCTAGATTTCATTTTAAAAGATCACTCCATCAAATCACAGGTAGATTGGAGGGAGAAATAAAAACAACCATGGAGTGGTCAAAGATAAGAAATCACGGCACCTTAGTCTAAGCTCTTGTCAACAGAAAGGGAGATAAATGGATGGATTTAAAATATGTTTTGTGAATAAAATCAATAAGACTAGCAAAGAACTAGAGGCAGAGAGTGCATGAGAGCAGGAATCAGTGAGAACCTACTCTAGTTTTCCCAATTAGAAGCTCATTTTCTGAGTTGCAAAAAAAAAAAAAAATGGGGAAAAAATGGTTTTATGGTGAATACAGGTTTGATGCATTATATCTGAGATGACTGTGATACATTCAATGGACATGTCAAATGAACTCCAGAAAATGTAGACTGGAAATGTAAAGTCCGTTGTTGTTAACTCTCCTAATAAGAGCAGACAAAGATAAGAACATAGATGAATCCCAGAAAGATTTGTCGAGGTCAGGGGAGTGACCAAAGAAAGACTTTAGGAAGGCCGATCCAATGAAGAGGAAAATTAGGAAAGAGCGATGTGGGAAGTCAAGAGAGGAGAGCATTTCAAGAAGAACCAAATATTGATATTCTGAATACTTTTTTAGAGACTGAATAAGAACAGAAAAGTAATGAGTTTGGCATCAGGGAGATCATTGGCAACATTGAGAAAAGCAATTTCAGCAAGTACATAGAGAAGAAATGAGATCAGAACAGGTTAAAATGACTAGAAGATGACATACTAAAAATAATTTTTATGGATGATACTTTCTGGAAGCTTGGCAGTGAACAGCAAACGGAGAATCAGAGCAGCAATAAAGACACAGTCGGTAGTTAAGGCACACTCTTGTTTGTTTGTTTTTTAAGATGGAAACTATTAGAGCATGCTTTTGCTGACAGAAATAGTCTAGACCTGGTGGGAGGTGGGGTGGTTGAAAACACAGGAAAGGAAAGAATATCAAGTCCTTGATAAGAAGATGGGGGAAGAGATCCAAGATCTTATGAAGGGTCTAGATACAGAGAAGAGGAGCAACACAACTAATAAAAATAAAACAAAACTAGGATCAGAAAAATCATACATACAATGAAAGTTATCTCTTATCCAACTAGCCATTCTGTAAAGAGACGAATTGAGGGACAGGGAGTAAAAGGTAGTTATATATATGTTGTATTCTTTAGAACAAAATCCTGTGCTTTCAATTTTCCTAAATAAAACAACTACTTCATTTGAGCTATCATTGAGCCATCTTCTGGCCAATACCGTAGTACACCATGGTGGGCACTGAGGACACCCACAATGCTATCATTTTTCTCACACTTCCCTCATCCATTGCTGCCATATTGGACAGACACCAAATGGGGAAGGCAACTGACTTTAGAAGAACTATTTTTCCTCTCTCCATAACCTCCAAATCCAATCTTTTCCCATATTTTCTTTTAATCCCCTTGCATTCATCAATAACACTGAGATCACTCTTTTTCACAGTGTCTTTTTTTTAAAAAAAACAGGCTCTCATATTTTATGCAGGCTGACATCAAACTCTTGGATCCATGGGATTGTCCTGCCTCAGCCTCCCAAGTAGCTGGGACTATAGTCATGCACAATCTCTTCTCTTTTTATTAACTGTTTTTAAAATTTGTGATTTTCTTTGTGCTCAGACATCTTCTATTCCTTTTCTACACATCAATCTGTCATCATAGCTTTTATTATTATCTACATATGCCAATGTCTCATAAACCTTACCTCCTGCCCATTCTTCTTTCTAACTTCAAACTCATATATTGCTGTTGAATATCTCCAACTGAGGGCCATCTCAAATATGAAAGTTCTGTAATTAAATTCATCACCTCCCCTCTCTATTACCAAATCAACTCCTTTTCTGGCATTAATCAGTTTTGCAAGGTAGAGGTCTGGTTTATTCAGTCCCCCACCCCCACTCCCAACTCGTGTCCAAAATCCAATCAATAACCATATTCTGTCAATTTGTTTAATTCAGTCTAATGTCTACCACCAACATTACTCTTGGTTCAGGTCACCTCTCTTATTAACAAAATAGAATTAAAATCAATCAACAGACAAATACCATCTATTTCTTTCTTGCCTTTTCAACTGTGATGCCCCCCACTCTCTGGCTCAAATCAGTATGAACGTGGTTTCCCAACTATTTCTTGCCTCTATGGCTAGAAGAGCTTCTTAAATTTCTTTAATTGTTTCTGTGCCTTCAATACTACTCCAGGACTGTGTGGTATTCCCTCCACACAGCAGTCAGGTATAATATAATATAATATAATATAATATAATATAATATAATATAATATAATATAATATAATATAATATAAACAGTTCAATGTCCTCCCAACTTCCCTCATGAAAAAACACTCCGAGTACAACCTGGCTCCCAGGAATCTGCATGGTCTAGCTCTTGCCTGCCTCACAGGCCACATATCTTACTCGGCTCCCTCAATACAATTTGTATGCTGCTGTGCTTTCTGTCTAGAAGGCTCTCGCTCTCCTCGTAACCACCCCCTGCACACCTTTTTAAGTTAGATAACTCCTGCACATGTCAGTTTAGTGCCCACCTCTTTCAGGAAGCCATTTATTTAACCCCTTTCCAGTCTCTCCCATTCATGACTACACAGAGCTGGTATAAGGAGTACACTAGCTGGGAAGGTTTCCAAGGGCTAAATCTATAAGTGGAACTGAAATTCATATCACTGGGAACCTAAATGAAGTAAAGAAAATATGCTACCTAAAATTCTTATTTTGCAGACTTTCTTTCAGGAGAGTACCACATGAGATTGTAGTGTTTGGGACACAATGGTTAACATTCTAAGAAGGATGGTTTCTGTTAATGGTAGGCTGTAGGTTTGCTGACTGGGGAGTGCAATTTTGACTTATTTATTGACTTAACAGATGAAAACACTGTGATTTAGAGAGAGATGCCAAAGGTCAAACCATATCGAGACTGGCTTTGAAAGCAGATAGTCCAATTCCAATTCCAGCATTCACGTGGTGTTATGGTTTAGATGTGAGGTGTCCTCCCAAAACTAACGTATGAGACGATGCAAGAACATTCGAAAGTGAAATGACTGGATTCTGAAAGCCTTAACCCAGTCAATGAATTAATCCCCTGACGGAATAATTCAGTGGTAATTGCAGGCAGGTAGAATGTGGCTGGAGGAGGGGGGTTTCTGGGGGCATGCCTTTGGGGTATATATTTAGTGACCTGATCTTAGAGTCAGTCTCTCTCTCTCTCTCTCTCTCTCTCTCTCTCTCTCTCTCTCTCCCCCTCCTTTCTGATCATCAAGTGACTTTCTCTCTCTCTCTCTCTCTCTCTCTCTCTCTTCTACCATGATATTCTGCCTCACCTCAAGCCCTGAGGAATGAATAGAGCCAGCTATGTGGACTGAGACCTTTGAAATAAACTTTTCCTCCTTGCTATTGTTCTCGTCAGGTCTTTTAGTTACAGTAGCAAAAAAAAAAAAAAAGCTGGCTAAAACACAAGAATAATCAGTAACTATGCTGCCCCCTGAATAGCTTAATGCCCCCCCACTCAAAATTAACAAAATAGAATTAAAATCAATCAACAGACAATAGCATCTATTTCTTTCTTGCCTCTTCAACTGTGATGGCCCCCACTCTCTGGCTCAAATCAGTATGACTGTGGTTTCCCAACATATCTAAAGTGCAGTGTCCAAATGTTGAAGAGTCTTATAAGATTTTATTGATTGCATATATTAGTGGATTAATAAATAACTGATTTAGAATACTTAGGGAAATTATTTTTCAATCCCAGGTGAATATCTAGGAGTCCAGTGATTCCAAGGTGGGATCTGAAATGGAGCCTCAAATTACTCACTTCTTGCCAGTCATGGTGGTGCCTCCTTAGACTCAGGAAGCTAAGGCAGGAGGATCCAGAGTTCAAAGCCAGCCTCAGCAATTTAGCAAGGCCCTAAGCAACTTAGCAAGACCCAGTCTCTAAATAAAACATAAAAGGGGCTGGAAATGTGGCTCAGTATTTAAGCACCCCTGAGTTCAATCCCTGGTACAAAAAAAAAATTACTCACTTCTCTTGGTGATCTTGAGCCTCCTTCTCGAAACGTTGGCTTACATCTGAAATTAATCTGCCATTTAAAAAGAAAAGCATTTACATTAGGAATAGTATCAGACTAAATTGAATTACCTAAAAACATCCAACAATGACAGATACTGAGGCTACAGAAAAAAAAAAAAACTAAAGAATAAGGAAGAAAGTTTACTGCTATTCTCAGTGCTTTGAAATCATCACATTAGATAATCTACAGACACATCAACTGATTCTCTATCTCCACTTTCCATCCCCTCCTTCTCACTAATGAAATCACAGCATCTTTCAACAATAAGGCTCTCAAACAGAAAATCAGAAATAGATAAGAAAGAGTCAGAGGAAAACTACAGAGAAGTTAAACCACCCAGCTGGGTTTTAAAATTTAAAAGTAGAAAATATAAACTTGAGGAATTGAAAATGTTGTAAGGATTATTCCAACAATAGAAATGAATATTCTTTATAGAAGGATTCAGCAGCCCCTTCCTTTAAGTGGGAAGGTCTCCCACTTGGTACACTTGTATCATCTTCAACTACAGTAGGACGTGAAAGTGTAAGAATGAAGGAGATGAATAAATGGAGTTGGGATGGGAAAGAACATATTAAGATCAAACGTCAGTGGTCATTGCCACACCATCTTGTTCACCAGTAATTGTAATATGTCAGTGAAATTAAGTGAATGCTGCATAGAACTAAAATATCTCAATGCATTTTCACATGTCAGCTTGAAAACATAGATAATGCACTTGGAAATGAAGAGGGATGCTTGAAAGTGAACAGCAGAAAATCACTATTGGGTCCTTCCCTTTCTCCCAAATGTCAAATAAATGCACTATGCAGAATTTTCTTCTTTGGAGATAACACACCCTCGGGCTGCCACTTCCAGCCCCAGCCACTCATTTACCCTGCACGAGCAAAAGCACTGACCAAGAAGCCCAGAGAAAAGACTGAGCACTGGCTCCAGAGACCATTATTCATCCTAAGAGGTAACATAAAATTATTGAATTGACACTTAGAAAACAACAGAGTGAATTACGCTTAAAATTCTTTTTACTACTAATATGTTAATTATGTTGGAATTCCTGTTTTTTAAAGGGCATTTTTTCCAAAAAGTTGGAAATGGAAACTGACACCCACCCGGTCTTTGAAGACCAAACACCTACAATAAAGGAGGGCGGCAGCAGGTGGCGCTCTCTTACCTTTTCTAGCTGTTCGATGCAGGCGGTGTGGACTACGATTTTACAGACTGCACACTTCCTCCTGAGAGCCGATTTCTACAACATTCAATTCAAAATACAGGAAAGAAATGTTAACAGTCTGTGTGAAGACTTCCCTGGTATAAGGACTGTATATGTACACAAATGAAACACTGCCATTCTTTCATACCAAGTGAATTTGAAACTTCATCAAAATATTAAACAACATGACAAACTTAACGGTCTTGTCTCACCAAGTAGTTCCACGTCTGCGTGATGACAGTGGCCTGGCCGGTCTCTCCCAAGTATAATAATAATATATCATATGGAGCAGATGATATGAATTGAGCACTTTATTCCATTACACTACTTCTAAGTTTGAGACCTAGCAATATAGGCATTATTTTATCCCTTTAAAAAAAAAATTGTCACATTTTCATTTGAGCAATTAATCTTTCTCATCTATTTCTGATTTTCTGTTTGAGAGCCTTACTTAGTTCTGCATTCAAATCAAGCATTCGTTTCCTACTGCCAGAAAGTCTATATTTCTAGGGGACAATCACCTTAGGCTTCAGTTCCAGGTATAAATCTATACTAAGCTACTTGGATTTCTGCTCTTACTTTCAGGAGAGAGAACACAGCTCTAGTTTTTAAACCCAAGAAATAATAATAATGATAACAACCACAACAGCAAACTCAGCAAGGGCAGTTAATACTACACAGGGCTTGCCGCATGCCCTTATCAGTACTTCACAAACAGCAACTCCCTTAACCCCCACAGCTCTATGAAATAGATACTATTCTTCCCAGGTTACAGATGAGAAGAGTGAGGCCTGGGAAGGGACCTGCCCAAGGTCATCTAATTAGGGGATAGCAGAGTCAGACTGTCTGACTCCTAAGCATTACTCAATTTGGCCTCTGTGACAATTGGTAGTGTTTAAATTCACAATAAAAAGCTTTTTAAGGTTTATCTTTTCTTTAATAATAAAGAGCTGTGGGGAGAGATGAACAGGGGCTCTACATTTCATCCCTACCAGGGTCCTGTAGCATTTAAGCTGAGAATGCTGAGATCTCTGCAAGGACATCTGAGTCCATACTTTTGAGTTTGTGCACTAGAAGAAACTTCTTAGAAATAACCTGTCTGCCAACAGTCCATCAAAGCCACCAAGTGTGAAAGGCGGTCCCTTTCCTTTCAGAAGGCACCAGTATAGATTATGAGCAACTCCCCCAACGCCCCGTCTGATGAGTGGCTGCCTCTGCTGGGGTGTCATATTGGAGGCGACTTTGGCAGTGGGGTAGGAAGGAGCCCAATACTGGTACTGCCCAAGGAGACTGGAGGGACTGCAGATAGCCACCTTGGAAGGGGCAGCAAAAGGAAAGAAACTGCCCCCTCCTGGTTCCTTGATGGTTCCAATTATTCAACATGGGGGTGTGGGGGTGGGTTCCTGTTGGTACCAGTGATGACAGTGTTATCAGCTCAGCTATCAAAGAAACAACTAAAACACTGTTTTACCACCACAACAAAAACTCTGGAATGTATTCACTGACTGAAGTTAATTGACCCTGTTGGTGGATGCTTTGATCACTCATTCCTGTTCCTAAAGAGAGAACATTGTCTTCATTGTTGAATGAATTTGACAATCAATTGATTCTACAAGTAACAAAGGAAAAGGGAAACTAAAACAACTAGAAACACTACTGAAAACTGTCTTGCTCTACTCCTAAACACAGCAGAAGAGAAGCAGGAGGAGAAGGTGGGGGGAAAGTGGGAGAGGAGGAGGAAGAGGAGGACGCACACTACAAGAGAATGCGAAGCAGCAGTCACAGCAGTAACAGAAGCAGCAGCAACAACAGTAATAAAATTTGACCTTGTAAATTTTCATGAGAGGAATGGCCGCAGACAAGTGCCTGGGCTCTCCTGTTTCCTGCACATATCCTGGTGGGATTTGCTTTAGCGCCACCTGCAGAAAACCCTTGGGGCATTTGAGTCCTGCAAACAGAGTTACAGAGATGCCAGGGAAACTGGAGTTGGTTCTAGGCAGCTTCTTGTCATCCACAAGACCTCTAGATAACACTGCACACAAGCAAAGCAGGCCACTGCAGGTGGGCTACCCCTTAGGGGCGATGATTTAAGGTGTCTGAAAAGCCTCCTTTCTTGTCCATACCCCCAACCTGGGTCTAGCTTTGTGCCTGATATCAAGCTCTGCATTAAGCTCTTTGGAGCTCCAGGGCTTCTGGAGGCGTCTTAGGAGTCATTGAGGAGGATGGGAAAAGAAATACAGTGGGCTCAGGAAGCCTGTGAACTCAATAAACCCAGAACACCTCTTCCTTTCTTTGTTTTCCACATCAGGATTCGGGGGTCAAAATCCCTATTAGATAAGGGATCTGGGATACTGGAGTTTAAGAGCCACTGCCTCAAGATATGTCATCACTCAGCTTTCCGGGATGACATGTAAATAACATCATTCATCGTGAACAATTCAAGAGCAACTATCTATGGCTGACAACATAGGAAATAAAGTGCTCTCTGTGATAAAACTAATTTTAATTAAATAATATTGAATTCTGAAAGACCATCTTAAAATATATCACACGCTTCTGTGCCTCCTGAGACAGCAAATATTGACCATAATCTGAATTCTTCTTCAAAGTCCAGTCATTTTTCTTTCCTCTCCTACGATCTGACAAAAGACCCTTTCAAATCATTGTTCCTGTCTTTGTTGCCCAGGATTTCCTAAATGACAGCTACTAAGCAGCTTGTGATCTGAAAATCAGATAATTAAAGTTTATAAACACATACAAAATTAAGTGAATAAATTCTGAGTGAAGGCCCAAGTTTTTTTCCCACACTAGTAAAGAACGAGGATTATAGTTCCTCAACTGACGACAATTACTTCAATGGATCCAAAGGCAACTGCTGACTTTTTTTTTTTTTTTTGATTGTTTCAATTGGCTAAGGCTATCTGAAGTGGCTAGATAATAAGCTTTTGAGCAGAACTTGCTCCAAACATGTAGAATTTTGTGCTTGGTTATGTTACAATTTTTGTTTTGAAAATTTTATCTAAATACAGGAAATACAACATGAAGCATACTCTATTCTAAATACTTTCACTAATTCACTTTTTTCCTAAATAACTCTTACTTAAGCCAGCTCGTCCTTCACTATGAAAGGTGATGAATTAAATCAAGTCATTAACAAATCATCCAATAGGTTAGTCTTCATATTGGGACACAGTTGTTACAGAACCTAGCACAAAAACATAATTGAAAACAGAAACATTATCTGGGACACTGAGTCCATGTTCAAAAATTAAAATTGTAAAAATGTATTAATTTGTTCTCATCAGTGAATTTAAAGGTCATTTGGGCTTTCTACTTTAAATTTCAAATAGAGTAACCTCAGTGCCCTTAATAAGGGTTTCCTGATTTGATCAGTGTTGGTATTCAAAATAAACCCATTAATCACTCTGTGTGTGTGCGCATGTGTGTATGCTTTTATAGCATATTTGTAGAAACTAAGAATAGATCACATCCCATCTGTTATGGTTTGGATATGAGGTGTCTCTCAAAAGCCTCTGTGTTAATACAGAAATGTTAAGAAGTAAAGTGATTGGATTGTGAAAGCTGTAACCTAATCTGCCCATCCTAGTTTGAATGGACTGTTGACTAGGTGTTAACTGTGGGTTGGTAGGGTGTGGCTGGAGGGGGTGGGTCAGGGGGAGTATGCCCTGAAAAGCTTGTTCTTCCTGGTGCCCTTTCCTTTCCTCTCTGTCTCTGCTTTCTGGCTGTCATGAAGTGAGTCATTTTCCTCCAACATGCCCTTCTGCCATGATGTTCTGCCTCATCTTGGGCTTAGAGCCACATACTTGGCCAGCCATGGATTAAACCTCTGGAAACAAAAGCCAAAATAAACTTCTCCTCCTCTAAGTTGTTCTTGTAGGCTATTTTGGTCACAGCGATGAAAACCATCACATCTCACTTTTATCTACTAAAATCATGATGGGCCTTTACTTAAATAATTACATGAAAGGGGCTGGGAGATAGCTCAGTGACAGAGCCCTTGCCTAGTGGTGCCTAGCCCCCCAGCAATCCCCGAAATAACCATAATAACAAGATGGTATGCTATGTTTGAGCATGGCAGGCCTGGTCTCGCGGCCGTACCATGGCTAGAAGAGGAAACACACTTAAAGTTCTGGCTTGGCCCTTTATCATTTTCCAAACTACAGGAATGGCTGGCCTTCCAAGCAGGGGCAGCTCCTCACCAAACTGCTGCTCCTATCAAGCAAGGAAGCAAAATTGCCATAGCTTTAGAGCCCTGGAGCTGGGGATATCAGTTCCAAGGACAGAAAGATGAGAGGCAATCAGTGGTCACAGGACAGGGTTTCATATCTCTCCCAACCACAACCTCTGGCTATAAGACAGCGATCTTTAATTCCCTTGAGCAAGAGAGATGATTTCTGCTAAGTTATAATGAATTTCTGGTGGAAGTAGAATCTGATAGAATCTGATAGAGGAAGGTGAGGAAAAGAGAAAGGGAAGGAGGAGAAAAAGAAGGAGGGGGAAATAAAAATGGAAAGAAAGGAGAGGAAGGAAGAGAAATGGGAGGAGGGGGAATGGCAGGATGGGTTGAGAGGGAAGGGAAGGACATGAGGACTTCAGGGACTGTGGTAAGTTGCTTTCATAGGTCTGTGGTTTTGAAAGGATCCTGCCTTCTTGCATCCCAGGGTAACTGGAATTCAATGTTTATTGGCCCCAACAGTCTGCTGTTTGACCCCAAGGAGCAGGTAAGATAAGGTTAGCTATTCCCTTCCCAACAAGGTACACACCAAACTTTTCCTCTCCTTTAACAGAGGGCAGATTATCTTACCTGCTGACCATATGTCTCCTGCTGTAGCCTTAAGAACACCCCTCACCCAACCACCAGGTTTAACCACCAGAAATCAGGAGTCTATGTGGCCACCCATTGATTTCCCTGGCTCAGGAGGGTGCAGAGGCCAGAACTCGCTCCTGCCTCCCAAAATAACAGGGTTAAGTTTGGACTCACAGCTTATCACTTTAGACAGAGACACCAGAGTGAA